AAAAAAAAAAAAAAAAAAAAGAAAAGAAAAGGAAAAGTATGACTGAGCACCCGTAGCTCATGCCTGTAATCCCAGCACTTTGGGAGGCTGAGGCAGGCAGATCACCTGAGGTCAGGAGTTTAAGACCAGCCTGGCCAACATAGCGAAACCCTCCCTGTCTTTACTAAAAATACAAAATTAGCTGGGCATGGTGGCAAGTGCTCATATTCCCAGTTGCTTGGGAGGCTGAGGCAGGAGAATCACCTGAACCCAGGAGGCGGAGGTTGCAGTGAGTCAAGAGTCAAGATGCTACTGCACTCCAGCCTGGGTGACAGAGTGAGACTCTGTCTCAAAAAAAAAAAAAATTTAAAAAAAGGCTGGTTATGGTGGTTCATGCCTGTAATCCAGTACTTTAAGTGGCCAAGGTAGGTGGACTGCTTGAGCCCAGGAGTTCAAGACCATCTTGGGGAATATGGTGAAACCCCATCTCTAGAAAAAATACAAAAACTAGCTGAGCGTGGTGGTGCTCGCCTGTGGTCCCAATGACTTGAGACACTGAGGTAGGAGGATCTACTAAGCCTGGGAGTCAAGGCTGCAGTGAGCCCCGAACATATCAGTGCACTCTAGCCTGGGCAACAGAGTGAGACCCTGTCTCAAAAAAAAAAAAAATAATAATAATAATAAAAAAAAGAGAAAAAAACAGTTAAGTGGTAAGAAGTAAATAATTCAGTTCAAAGATATCCCCTGCTCTGGTCCTACCTGTTTGCCTGTCAATGTATAAATATAAGATTACAACTTGTAGGTAGATATTGAGCGCTTTTTGTTGTTGTTGTTTTAAGGTGGTACAATGTTTCTTTTTTCCTTTTTATTGAGACCCCCAAACACAGCCTACTGACAACCATCAGCATGGTGCTGACAGAGCACGACCCTTTTAAGTGCAGTGCAGACTCAGAACTGAAGGCCTTGGTGTGCACGGCACTGGTCTTGCTCTGTCATTCAGGCTGGAGTGCAGAGGGATGATCATAGCTCACTGCAGCCTTGAACTCCCAGGCTCGAGTGATCCTCCTCTAGCCTTCGCCTCCCAAAGTGTTAGGATTACAGTCATGAGCCACTGCAGGCAGTCTACTTTTTAAAATTTTAGTTTTTAATTTTTATGGGTACATAGTGTGCATGTATATTTAAAAGGTACATGAGATGTTGCTACAGGCATGCAATGTGTGATTATGACACATTGCATGCTTGTAATCACACAGCATGGAAAATGGGGTTGGCCTACTGTTTCTGAAGGTGAAAATGAACAACAGAAAGAGTTTCTTATCACATAGAACCTTTAGTGCTGTCTACTCCTTTCTAGCCCTTAAATCTGCCAGTTTGAGGTGGCTGCTCCTTGTGTAAGGAGTTGTGGGTATGTGGAGAAGGGTGGAACAGTAAACACGGGATTGTACTGGGAACAGTTCAGATTAAAATAAATCATTATCGGCTGCTGAGAAATCCTCTTGGCTAAAACCAATGAAAGTGGGAAGAAAGCCACATGTGGGATGTAGTTTGAAGAATAAAAAGGTGAAAAGGGACCGGGCATGGTGGCTCACACCTATAATCCCAGCACTTTGGTAGGCTGAGAAGGGCAGATTGTTTGAGTTCAGGAGTTGGAGACAGCCTGGGCAACACCGTGAAACCCCATCTCTACAAAAAATAAACAAAATTAACTGGCCATGGTGGCACACATCTGTAGTCTCAGATACTGGGGAGGCTGAGGCAGGACTGCTTGAGCCCAGGAGACAGAGGTTGCAGTAAGCCAAAATTGTGCCACAGCACTCTGGCCTACGCCTCAACACTTCCACTAAAGCCTGCAGTTTGCGTACTTCCGGAGATGCAAAGCTTGTAACGTAAGGAAACGTTCACCTGGGTCT